TACTCTAACTCTGCTTATAGGTTTTTTGAGTGCTGAAACCTGAGTCCTGCCCCTCTGTTTAAGGTTTTTTTTTTTTTTATCTTTTAAGATAAATGGCTTACTTCACACCCCTTTTATACCACCTTTGTCTTCTTTGTCCAAAATGTGATCATTTTGGTCCTCAAAAGAGTGTCCTTTGTCCTTAAGGGGACATTGAGGTCCTTACAGGTTTCCACCAGGACATGTCAAAGGTGGGATGAATTTTCATTGTCCTTGGGAGCTGAAGGCAAATGGCTACCAGGTTCATCACCTTAGAGATCGGGAATGGGTTGATGAAGCGAGGGGTAGCGAGCCAGACCTTCAAAAGAACTTGGTATAAAGGTTCTGGCAGATGACTGCGATTGGCAGCTTGTGACTAGGCAGCAACTCTTGGAATCATGTTTTTTTTCTGGCTCTCCTCCATAATCGCTGGCAGTAATTTGGCCTGATGAAACTTCTTTCTTTCATTAATGGTGAACACCAGTGGATGTAATCCAGGGATGTCAAACTGGCTCCAGAAAGGACCGTGTGGCTGCAGGTTTTCTTTCCAACCAAGCAATAGCACACCAGACTCTAGTCATCTCATTAGTGAGTCCAATTGTGCTATTGTTTGGTTGGAAAGAAACCCTGCAGCCACCAGTGTTTTTCAATCCTGGTTCTCAAGGCACCCTGCTTTGCATGTTTTGGATGTTTCTGAGGTTTAGCAAAGCTGATTCAGATGATTGCAGCTCAGCAAAGCCTGATAATCTGCTATCAATTGATAACAGGTGTGTGAAAGCTGGGAAACATCTAAAACATGCAGGGCAGTGTGCTTTGAGGACCAGGATTGAAAAACACTGCCATAGACCACATAAAAATTGGAAACTGGTGGTACTGGATGGCAGGGAGTAAATGGCATGTTCAACCCAAGACAGATAATCAGACTATTTGGTAGAATCAGACAAACAGATGATGCGAAGTTTTGGTAAGCTGTTTCGACTTGGCCATCAGTTTGGAGATGAAATCTGGGGGACAGGCTGACAGAGATCTCCAGTAAAGAGCAGAACTCCCTCGAATATTGGATGATGAATTGGGGACCCTTGTCAGAAACAATGTGTACAATGTATGTAATATGAAGATCAACATTGTTTGGTTTTTCCGTCAGTCCAGGTCTTCTACTGTGACTGCCTCAACTACACGCCACTGTGAAACACAGCAAAGGGTATCCACAGTACCATCTAAATGTTTTGCTTTTTAAAAAATCGATACTTGAAACTGAATGGTCGATTTTACTTAAAAAATCACAATATGAATTATTTTATTCCCACACCCCTATTTGTTATTCAGGCCTCAGAAGGACAACAGAACTGAGGTACACCCTCACAGGAATAAGGCTCTGGTTACTAATGAGGCTCTATCGCAGTAACACAACACACAAGACTTTTCATGCATCTTTAATGCAATGACCAGCAGAGGTAGAGAACAGAAGGGGCTGAGTTGTGCACTGCATTGTAACCCGGTAGTGAAGATATATAAAATAACTAGCCTCTTTGTTTAACTAGTTGGTTACAAAGAAATAATTTCATGCTTCGGCGTAAAATTCTTTAAGGCCTATAATAGAGGAAAAAATGCAGGAAATGTATAAAGTTCGAACTACTAAGTGTTGACCCAATATTTCAAAAATAATTCTATGCAAATTTATACACAATGAAATAGGTGGATGCCTCATAACGTAAACGTTTGCCTCAGTTAGGTGTTTGTAATTTGTTTCTTGGTTCATCCTTTGGGTCCAACTTATGATTCACACATGATCCAATAGTTCTGCTTCTCAATCCATCTAAGCATGCCCTTAGAACATGAGATAAAAGAAAAAAAAACATGCAACGTATTGACAGTGGTTTTACGCTTATGTGACTTTCACAAAAGACAGCAGAAGATATGTTGTTAGGTGGAAACCATTTGAAACAGATTGCTCGAAGGCAGAAATCCCCAAGGCCAGTCATTCAGAGCCATTATCCTTCACCTTCTAATTCAAATGAATGGCATGTAACCAGACCAGGGCCTCATAAATGAAGTTATGCAGTGTACAACATAATAAGATGTGTTGTTTCTTATTAAATTTAAAAATGTTGCAGGAAAGTAGATGTTTAGTTTAAAATGTAATAAATTAACTGTAGATAAAATCCATGTTTAGTAAGCTAATACTTTTATCCAGTTGAGAGTCAATATCAGGAGCACAGAAAGTTACCTAAATAAATTTAAAAAGAGGTGGGAGATGTGGAGTCAAAAAGTCCTCTCTATGCCATGGATTTGTTCTGCCCCGCTGCTTAACCAGGTGAGTTTGGTGGCTGCACAATTTAATTCACAGTGTAGGTTGGACTCACCTGCTTCAGTGGCTGATCAGAACAAATATATGGCATTGAGAATACTTGTTGCTTCATATCTCCTACCGATGCCTTTAAAACTAAGAATAAACTCTATAAAATATTTTAAGGAATTCAGTCATATTTTACCTAAAAACTACATAAATCAATAGCCTGGGTGCCATTCCGAACTTAGTCCCGCCCACAATGTTTGAGGTCGGGAAGTTCGGTCTGGCATTGCTCAATAGTAGCGCGAGTATGCTTGCCCAATATTTGGCAGGCCAACCAAATTGTCAGGGCAGGCTTTATACGATGATGGACAGATGATCAACAGTAACGTAATCCACCACGTGACCAAAGCGCGCTTGGGTGACAACAACAATGGCTGCCGCTGGAGGGTTGAGGTAAGTAGATTCTACTATTAGGTCTGTTCTAGAAGATATCGACAGCAAATAGATTTTAAAAGAGGAACAGAGAAACGCGATCAAGGCATTTGTTGAAAAGAAAGATGTTTTGGCGTCCTTCCTACGCGATTCGGCAAAAGTTTAATTTATCAGCTGGCTCCTTTGGTCGCTTAACATACGTCACGCACTCCGTTGCTCTTTTGGTTGTAGGTCTATCCAATTGAGTGCAGAGGCATTTTTTTCCTGGTTCGTTCGAAACACTCCCCATAATCACAGCTCTATGGAGCAGTATCAGACTCTTATTCTGACTAGAATTGAGTAGGACTACTTCAGCCTAGGTAAATTAATCTTATGTTATCTAATTCAATTTAAACACAACAGAGGCGCACATTGGACGAGGCCATGCATGAGGTAAAAGCAAGGGAACCTATATTAATGCAGCTGTTTCATCTTTCATTGAGATGGGTTTGGTGGAAGCTTTGAGACTGTATTTTGCAGATTTGCTTGTCATTTCAGATGGGAAAACTACAACTTAAAAAGGAAATAGAATCCAACCCACCAAAGTGGCCAGTAGGAGTGGCTGTGCTAACTACCACAGCTAAAATGTATCTGCATTTGGCAGGTTTTAATGTCAAGCTCTGATTGTGTATGAGGACAGAGCATGATAATAATTCAAATAATTACCATTTCTGCCACTGTGCTTTAAAAAACACCTTCACTTCATTATTATGAATGTTATCTCATAATTATGAGTTACTATGTCATTATTTTGACTTGTCTATGTCACTATAATAAGCCAGGATGAGTTGTGGGACTGCTAAGGCACCACGCCGGTGCCGGGAGGTCAAGTGTGGCACTACTTGGGTGATTACAGATGCAAAAAGTCTGACCTGGGAGAAATTTGAAGAAAATCGTGGAGAAAGACTATAGGTTGGCTTCAAAGCGATTCACGCAAACCGTTCTGTGGCTCCAGATGGGTAAGCTGGGCTTTGTCTCACTATTTTCGGCAGGAGCAGGGAGCTGCCGACCTTGACTGAGGACATTATTGAACTCTAAAAAGACTACAGTAGTAGTGTTTTAAAAGTTCTTCTGTTTCCATGGGTCCTTCTCTGGCTGGTTTTTAGGCTTGGCTGAACTTTGCTGGAAACCAGAGGCATTTCAGCTGACTAGAATAGTGGTCTTCCTTCACAAGAAGGGTGACTAAATGGTCAGAGGTGGGAGATGTGGAGCCATCAGGTCATCTATATGTCATGTATTTATTCTGCCAGCTATGAACCAGATGAGTTTAATCTGCACAGTGAATTAAATTGTGCAGATTGGACTCACCTGGTTCACGTGACGGACGTGACAGAGTCTAGTGACACCATGGGGACCGATCTGCTGTCTGCAACATGCTTTTGCATGATTGGTTTAGTAGTGGATCAGTAGTAGTGTGGGGTGGCATTTCTTTGGAGGGCCACATAGCCCTCCATGTGCTCGGCAGAGGTAGCATGACTGCCATTAGGTATTGAGATGAGATCCTCAGACCCCTTGTGAGACCATATGCTGGTGTGGTTGGAGCTGGGTTCCCCCACTGCAGGACAATGCAAGACCTTTTGGTTGGAGCTTCGGCAGTTCCTGCAAGATGAAGGCATCGATACTATGGACTGGCACCACAGACTGTCCAGGAATTGGCGGCTGCTTTAATCCAGGGCTGGGAGGAGATTCCTCAAGATACCATCCACCAGCTCATCAGGAGCATGCCCAGGTGTTGTAGGGAGGTCATACAGGTACGTGGCGGCCACACACAATACTGAAACAAATTTTGACCCGTTTTAAAAACATTTAATCAAAGTTGGATCAGCCTGTAATGTGTTTCCACTTTTTGTTTTTCACTCCAAATCCAGACCTACATTGGTTAACTTTATTTCCATTGATTATTTTTGCTATTTTGTTGTCAGCATATTCAACTTTGTACAAAAAGAAATATTCAAATATAATTTTATATTCATTCTGACCTTGGGTGTGTTATTTGAGTGTTCCCTCAAATAACAGCGAGCAGTCTACTTTACAGTGGAAAAAAAAAAGTTTAATCACAACAAAAATCAAGAGATAAACATGATACAAATATACATTACAAGCATAACGAGCAATAGAGGGAGAGAATGGATGTTGAAAGTCTTATTTATGGTATGAGATTGTTAGAATATATCCAACTAAAACCAGAATATGTAAAAAAAAATATATATAAAGCTTGTGGTGAAGTCAGAGAAGAATGAAAGTTGGTCTGCGTTTCTTTTTGTAAAAAAAATAAAAAGGGTTTTGAAGGTTCTACTCCTGAGGATTCTTGATGTTATCCATGTCTGTCAGAATTATCTTCCTGTATCTGCGCTCCAGTCCCATCATAAACTCTAGGTAGTTGCTGAACTTGAAACCAGCGATTGGCTCCTCCTGCACATGGAGAAAAAAAATATATTGTTAAGATGTATAACCACAAAGAGGAGAAAGATGGAGAGAAGGGTTGTTAATTGTTGCATATCATAAATTATACTCCGTGTGTTTTAACTTATGAGGGTCTCAGCTATAAAAATGAAATATATGCTCTATATACTTTACAGATCAATTTATGAGCCCAAATCCTGGTTAAGTGTTCATTGTGAGGTAAACTGAGCTCTCAGGATGTCATTTGGAGTTATTTCAAATAGAACAAGAAGAAAATATTCTCTCACATCTCAATACTAAATCACAGGCAAAACTGTGCGTGAAGGGAATTTAAAAGTATAAACATGGATAAGTTAATTATCCTTATTTATAGATAAAAAGGTCCAGTTCCGGTCAGATGTTTACACACAGATCATTGGCATGTTTATTTGTTATTCTATTTTATAAAGTGGAGTTATACAAACATCTTCCCTCTAGGAAGAGGCTTCAAAGCATCCGATGCAGGTCCGGTAGGTTCCAAAACAGCTTCCTTCCCACTGACATAAGACTGCTGAACGTCGAATAAAACAGTGAAAAATAAAAAAAGAAGCGCTGAATGTTGGAAAAATTGTAAATCATCTCATTCTCATGTTTACATTTGATCACCATGTTACTTTTTATCACTGCTGCACTTTAAGTGAAATGTCTTGAGAGTTGTACTGTACAACATTTCGTTTTGTATAAACTGTGTGTATAAAATGACAATTAAGTTTGTCTAAGTCTAAGGATTAATCTTAGAACCAATCGACCCCAAACAGCAGCACAGGTGATTAAAGAGGGCCAGGTAACCTCGTCAGGATGCCACCAAGGTCTGTACAGCTATTAGTAATGATTAGGATTTAAACCAGAGGAAGATCTAAAACATGCAGGAAACTAACTTTAAGGCTGACCTTGTACACATCTGCCTGAGGGATTCAGCATAACAGTTTAGGTAGAAGCAGAACACGCACCAGAATCCATTGGATTTCTCGGAGTACAAAGGCTGATTTATTTCATTTCCATTAATTGTTAGACCAGAGTTTAATTTTTAACAACTCTATGTGTCTAAATTATCATGAAAATATTAACTCTATAGAGAGTTTTGGCTAACAGATATAATTATAGTTAAGGGCGTTAAATACAGGAATAGTGTATTTGGACGGGGCCGCCTCTTACAGCTGCTTTTTGTGTCTCTGCTTCTGTCTCCTTGAACCCCAGTTGGCCTCGGCAGATGGCCGCTCACACTGAGCCTGGTTCTGCTGGAGGTTACTTCCTGTTAAAAGGGAGTTTTTCCTCTCCACTGTCGCTACAAGCATGCTTAGTGTGAGGGATTGTATTTGAGTCAATGAGTCAATGCAATCAACTGGTTTTCCTTAGATAGAAAACTTTGTATCATTAGACTGTATGACCTGGTTGAACTGTAAAGTGCCTTGAGATGACATGTGTTGTGAATTTGGCGCTATATAAATAAACTGAATTGAATTGTATTTATTGTCACAGATCATTTCTATACAATATCTTATTACCAGCAAAGCGAGAAATCAGTGGCTTCAACTGGATCCAGTACAGACACCTTGTTCAAAAATAATCAAAAGCCTGTTTTCCATTGCCCTTTAAAACCACGGAGCCTTTAGAAAGTCTGGGGCTTTTAATGCCAGGGGAGCTTTACATTGAGACAGGTTTCCCTTTCTGGGGGCTTTATTGCCTCAAGACAGGTAAGAAAATAAGAAATTCCAGGGGCTTGTTAAAGGGGTGGAAATGTGGTCAGCACTGCGGTGTTTGTTACACCAGTAGCAACAACTGTGAGTGCACAACGTTGCCTTTATACTTTTAATTTGGCATAAAGATACGTTTCAAGAGCTTCATTTGTGTATTCAGTTTATCAAGAAATATGCAGATCTTCAGAGCTCTGTGCCGTCAGGCTTCTCAGCTAGTGTACCGAGTTGGATCTCCCCTCTAATCACAGCCGTACTATCGGCAAGTCAGTCGGTCATTTCCAGTTAACTTGTTTGTCAGAAAAAGTGATTTAAAAATGTTTTTTTAACAAAGAAAGTAGACCTCAAAACTTCTGTGTGCTCACCTCATCAAGGTTATGTTTTTACTGTTAATTATGCTTTTACAGCGCCAGAAAGTTTACTTGATTTGGTGGTTCGTCTACTGGGCTAGCTAAGCCAGAAGCCAGACCGGGGTTGCACAGGGAATACGATGATGGGAATGAAAATATTTCAATGGACTACTCATGTTTGAACAGATTATTTTCAGTTTCCCTTGTACATATACATTCTCCTTAGACTTCACATAAACCTCAGCATGTAGAGTGTACCGCCTTTATTCATATTTATATAATAATATTTTTTTTTCCTTCCCTTTCATGGTTTTATCCTGACGGTGCTGTAGATTGAAAAACCACAGTTTGGATGCTGTCATTAAGCTTTCATAGATCCTTTTTTATGCTATCAACTGACTATACCTTCTCCTTGATATAAACATTTGCTCATGATTGTAAAGTCAATCAATTCCCTTTATGAGTAGCTTGACTGATACGGGTTTTGTGTTGTGCTGTGGATGTGAGTTTAATCTTATTATTATTATTATTATAAAGGAAAAATTTTTGTACATGAAGTCTTGCCAGATGAAGACTGAGAAAAACACATGTAAATCTTTATTTCAAGTTTTAATGAATGCAGTGATTTTACTCAATAATAGAAGGAATGAATCAGCTGCATAACTGTAAAGTTCACTCTGAACTATTTATCAGTTGGAACAATATCAACAAAGAATAGCCTATTTTAAAGGAAGTAAACATGTAAAGGTTGATTACAACCAGTGGTGTGTTCCTATTACCAGTGTTTTCACAGGTCTGCCTAAAAAGTGGATCAGACAGCTGCAGCTGATCCAGAACGCTGCTGCCCGTGTCCTCACTAAGACTAAGAAAATAGAGCACATCACCCCAGTTCTAAAGTACTTAAACTGGCTTCCTGTATCTTAGAGAATAGACTTTAAAATACTTCTGTTAGTCTATAAATCTCTGAATGGCTTAGCACCTAAATACATCACAGACTTGCTATCAGTGTATCAACCCTCCAGACCACTCAGGTCTTCTGGCTCCAGCCTGCTCTGCATACCTAGAACCAGAACTAAACATGGAGAAGCAGCATTTAGTTCCTATGCTCCACTTATCTGGAACAAACTTCCAGAAAACTTTAAAAGTGCAGAAAGCCTGAGTTCCTTTAAATCAAGACTAAAAACACATTTGTTTAGGATTGCCTTCCACTGTTCTAGTTAAACAGTTCAACTAAAACATCATTAGTTCAACTTTTTTATTTTCTTTAGTCCAACTGTTTTTAATATTCTTTTTTGTTTTTGCATTTTTTATTTTATTTTATTTATTTTTTCCTACTTTTGATTCTGTTTTATCTTCCTGTATTTTAACCATGTAAAGCACTTTGCATTGTCTTTGTCCTGAATTGTGCTATGCAAATAAATTTGCCTTGCCTTGCCTTACCGCTACCTGCTGGACTGAAGGTTTATGGCAGTTTTTCTCAAGTTTAATGTCCAGGGGCTTTCAAAAGTAAATGTGAAATTCCCTGGGATTCTCATTACCCTGTAAAAAACAACCTCTGGGGTTTTACATGCCAGGGCTTTCAATCGATAAGGAGCTAGTGACCATTCATTTTGGATTATATATTGGGTGTTTGTTGGTGATGTGGGTTTCTGTGTGTCCTGACACTCTGTGGTCAAAGATTTCATAGGTATCAGAATATGTTAGATATCAGCTAACAAAGAGATGAAATATGGTGGCTCCATATAGTCTGTGGGTCAGCAGTAAATTACCAACTCTTTCTGCTTCTCCTCTCGCCACCTTTTGCTTTGCTGCAGTTAAACTCCAGCTGGACTCAGAGGGACTGTAACAAGTCTTTCCCCTTTTCAAATTTTAATTTAAATGAAATATAGATATGTCCCTCAGTGAGACAGGATGAAAGAACACGTTAATGTTCTAAAACCACATCTTTCTGGTTTAAAGACTCTCTTCTCATAGTTCCCATAGAGACAGACAGTGGGAAGATTGGATGCATAGAGGCATGACAAAAACTTTTTTCTACAGTTCAACTCAGGACAGAGGATCTGTATGTTTCTCACAGACAGTCTATTTCTTTTCCTGCCTCCTGTAGCAGCTCATTAAAAGAATGTTTTCAGAAAGAATCTGTATAAAATACTGTCTTATTCAAAGCAATTGTCCATGGTATCTTGTCACTGTTTAAAGCAGACCTTAAATAAAGTGTGGGAAGGCTACAGAGGGCAATATATCAGTCTACAGGGAACCTTAGATAAAATTGTTGAAGTCATCATATTGGTAAAGGCCTGAGGTGCAAACAGATGTTACAAAATAAAAGAAAAAAAAATTCACAAAGCAAATTTAAATTTGACCAAAACAAAATATAGAATTTCAGAAAACAACTTTGCAAATAACAAAACGGATAAGGGAATGTACCAACTGTGACTCTGACCCGGAAGTGATATTGCATGCCTAATTTTGACCACAGATTGATGGAACGCATTCTGTCTCATCGCCATATTCCTGTTGCTAATTGAGTGACTCCACCGCTACACTTAGCAACCGCTTAGACCCCTTTAAGTACATCTTTAGTTTTAGTTATGCATGTTTTTAATGCTTTTAGATCACTTGTCTTGCTGATTGTGATGTTCCTCTCTCCTATGGAAAAAAACAGTATACACACACAGTGCTGGCCAAAAGTATACCACATTATGCCCATATAGCTAATTTTGTATATATTTTAAAGCATAGCCATGTTTGCACTGTACCCTGTTTAAAAGGGCTAACGAAGGGGAGAAAGTTAAGGATGCTCCCCTCCTTCAGCCATCCTCCAAGCTGTGGTGGGGAGGGTCAGGATGCTTTAGCTGCTGAAAATGGCCGCTCTCATTTATAAAAAAACAAAACAAAAAAGCTTATACCGCAGCAAAGATGAGTTTGAGTATTTCAGAGGATTGAAAAAGTGACTCCCTCGTAATGGGTTATACTCAGAAAACTGGCTCATCTCTGATGGACACATTTCCAATCCCAATGACTGTTATGCATTTTTAGAAAGACAGCTTGCTGTTTTTTATTGTTAAACTAGCTAATGGTTCAAAGCAGGGTTTCTCAATTCCAGAGGCGGACGTCTAGAGTGTTCCACATTTGAGGTTTCTCTGCTTCAACACAGGTCATTAGCTGGACTCTTGGGAACTGGACCCTATTCTAAAAAGTTAATTTAAGCATTTTATTCAGTTGTGTGAATGCAGAGAGACATTTTCATTGAAACTGGACATTGAGGAACCCTGAGCAGAGGAGCAGTAGAAGAGCCCCATTGTAAAGAAGATAGATTGCCCCCCTGAGTTATGTTCTGCATTTCCGCTTCTCTGTGTCACATTATTTATACAGCAGAGATAGGGCACATAGACCAAGAGCTAAACAAACGTCTCAAACAGCAAAAAGAAGAGTCATGGAGAAATGAGCCCCCAGATGCTGAATACATCCAATGGGCTGAGGAAGATATTGATATTGTTCTCATTAATGGTTAAATAGGACTGAACTAAAGGAATGCACAATACCTTTTAGAACAAAAGTAAAATAGACAGGGTCTACAGCATAAGACAAGACCCAAGATGCAAACTTTTTACTGAAAACAAACACAATGAAGGGTAAGGGGAGATGCTTGAAGGCAAAGGGAACATGGAATACCATAATTAAGGGACTAAAAAGAAATGCTGTCAAGTGGAGGCTGGAAATCCAGTATTTAAAGCCAGAGAAACGCCCCAGAGCAGTAGAGAATAAGTGAGCTGCGATCCTGTGGGACTTCCAGATCCACACTAAGAAACCGGTGATGAGCAACCAGCGAAACAATGTGCTGATAGACAAAACAGAAAGGAGAGAAATCCCATGGCAAAGCAATATCAGAAGAAGCAAGTAATAAATGCCAGTGGTTGATTATGGAAAAAGTATGAATTCATTTTCCTGAGACTTTAAATAAAGAGATTGAATTTTAGCAAGCTCTTAGGCCAATGTTATTATATTACTATACATCTTGCAAACAAATTAGAAATTAACACGACAATTAACAGGTTTAATTTTTAATATTGTGGACATCTAAAAAGAGAATGAAGCTCTGGTTTACCTTGAGGAAAACCTGCAGTTCCTGGGATTGTGTGCGCTCCAGGATCTCAGGCTGCAGGTGTTTGAATATAGCCACACACAGGTAAACCTGGTAATCTGGACCCATCACCGCACAGGTGCAGATGTACATGCAGATTTCGCTCCAGTCCAGGTAGTTCCAAAAACACTGAGTAAGCCAGTGGAGGCACATCTGCAATGAATACAGAAAAGACATTGTGATCAAGCGTCCTGTTTGGGGGGGCTGAAGTCTGCCACAATTATTGGAGTCATAAAAATCAGACTTTAAGCTGTAGCAAATTAAGCACGTTCCTAATGTACAATCCTAGGTACATAGGCTGACTTTGCAAATGTTAAGTATTTTGTGTAGCCTTTGCAGAATTTTTCTTTGCTTTTATTATTTCACTGGAATACCTTTAAAAATAGTGATCTACAAACGGAACATGGCCATCTCCCTAACAGAGGCTCCAGAATTCTTTTTTTTGGTCTAATATACCGTTTGTGACTATAAAGTAGATTTTTCTAATCTTGTCTTCCTTTTTCAACTTTAATACTTGTTGAACAAACTGCTGTTAGCTTTTTTTTGCATGTGCATTTAAACTTATGATGGACATAGACCCAGAACTGCAAACCCGAAAGGACAATGTATTTTTTTTCTAAAGAACTGGTATTTGAGGAAACATGGAAAAGATAAAATCCAATCCAATTCTATCCTTTATATTTCTGTTTTGTTAATGATTTGAATTCATTTCCCTTGCATAATACAGTCAGACTGCTCCAGTGATGCTTTATCAGCATCTCAACAATTCTTTCAGGAATCATGTTTACTTTCAGGGATGAACATCTTTCTACAGTCATGAAAATTGAGCTGGGATTAGGGGACAATGAGACAAGAAGATGCATGCTAATGTTTACTTCTTCAGCTGATGAGCAAGTTAAAATCTGCAATTCTAATGCAGCAGCTCAACAAGGGATTTCCATCAGATCTCAGCCAACAAGAAAGCAGGTACAACATCAGTCTCACAGACCTGTGTTTTCCTACTGACAAAAAAGCAGAAAGTGCAAATCAAGACAACCACTATATTTAGGGTGTGTGTTCTTGATAGATCTGTGTGGAAACCCTGAAAAGAATTGTGAAATTGACCAGGAGAAGGAGACTCTGTTGTCTTAGAGAATCAGTTATTATGCAATCCTTGTATCGCACCCTGGTTTAAATCTCACACAATCTGCATAGTAGGTGACCTGAACACAGGAGAGAAAGCTTAAATCACCTCACTGTGGGATGAAATTTATTCTTGATCAAACTAACATAAATGAGTCAAACAACTCAATTAGTTCTGACTGCTCGCTTCTGTTCTTTGCTGGAAAATAAAGAGATCTGAGAATAAATTATGCGTCTTCTGAAGTTGGAAATTAACAGTTAATAAGTTAAGAACATTTTAAAGTACCAGAAGTCTGGTGTCTACTAGATGTCAGAAATTCACTCTTTAATAGTTAATTCTCTCTATAACTATTGACTCAACTGGTGCACACTGCCAACTCATAACTACCCCAGAAAATGTTATTATTGGAGGAAAAAAGCCTTTTAAGGTCTAGTTTTTTTTCCCTCTCGGTGAAGTTAAATGAAACCTTATTAAACATGTTATGGGGCCAAATGTTAAAATACTCCACCAGCTGCACAGTAAGATGACATGTTTATTAAAATGATATGCACTTTAATGGATAGCTGCACATATTCACCACATGCTCAGAGCCAGATGATGAATTTACTCTGGCATCAAAACATCTAATTAAGCCAAAGTATCGTCTTTGAAAAAATTGTATATCTATCCTGCTGAAAAAAAAGTTAAGCTAAGCTAAGTTAAGACAAATCGTCTTGTATTTCTGGAGCTCTTAACCAAGATGACTCTAAATGTATTTGAACATTCTATATGTTTAAATATAGCTTAAGATCTTTTGGCTCCTTCCTATTTATTTTCTTTTGTCACACCTTAAAGTTTCAGATCAAATTATTTTTAATATCAAAGCTGGCTAAAATAAAAAGGCAAAAAAAAGTATAATTTGTTTCAAGGGGAAAAAGCTTTTCAAAGCAACCGGGCCTCTTTTTGAAACTATATTTACCCCCTTGTAAAATCCTTCCCTTTGATGAACCACATTTGAGTTTACATTTAAGAGCCTCTTTAGAATCAATAACTAAAACTGTACCTGTCTGAAAAAAATCTAAGTGACCTCAAAGTGTCACACACATGGCCTGATGGAGAGAAATTCATGATCATATGAATCAGTCAGATGATAAAATCCATCAGCCTGGAAAGGGTTGAAACTCCAGGGCTTTGGGGACCAGTGAGAGACATTACTCGCAAACAGAGAAGACACGGTCCAGTGGTAAACATTCCCAGGAGTGGCTGAAATTAAAGTGCAACAGCAATACATCCAGTAGATCGCAGAGGGACTGACAGCAACATTGGAGGGTTTCAGTTTAGGTCAGTGTAAATGATGCACAAACAGTGGGCACCATATAAAGAATAAACACATGTTCCTATGATAGAGAGCCATAGCTAATCCTTTGACTGCTGTTCAGGTCTTTAGGACATGAATTTAGCATCACGATAAATAGTAGGGGTGGAACGGTTCACAAAATCCATGGTTCGGTTCGGTTCATGGTTTCGTGATCACGGTTTTCAGTTCGGTTCGGTATATGTTGATTGTTACACTGAAAAAAAAAAATTAAAAAATTAATGAAATTTTTTTTTTTATGAAATTAATGAAAAAATACTAATAAATTAATGAATTGTAATTATTTTTAATGATTCGCGGAAACCATGGATCATTTCCGCATGTTTTGCTGCTTTGAATTTAATCGTCTTGTGTAGGCTTTGCTTTGTTCAGGTGGTCTGGAGCGCAGCGGGGCGGAGCGCTGATGGAGTATGTGGGATTTCGAGGTTAGCATGACATGTTGGTCATGTTGATGTTAGCATAAACAAAACGTGTTGCACAATGCTTGCACACTGTTGTACTTTTATCCACAACTTTCTTTCCGCCGTCATCGTAGGTCACTCTAAATGCAAAGTGGTCCCATACAGCAGACCTATAAAGTGCTGCTGGCGCGTCTTCCAACTCCTGTTCTTTCCCACTCGCCATACCCACACAATTCTCCACAACAACTGATTTTTTTCTGCTACACCCGGCTACGCTGCTTCGCTTCTTCTTCTTCTTGTTTACTACTGGTGGTTGGCTTTGGTCGCAGTACCGCCACCTTCTGCTCTGGAGTCTGTAAACGCTTCGCCTATGAGAAAATGGAGCAGCGCATGAACCGAACGCAACACACGCGAACCGAACCGAATGGTTCGGACGGTTTTCAAAAACAGTTCCATCCCTAATAAATAGATAATAAATTGTGAAGTCATATCTCAGACAATCCAGATGGACCACTTGCATTACCTAATGAAGGCTTTCTTTCTGCCCTCAACCTGAAAACCCTAAAGGAACCCAACCGGTTTGTGATTTCAAGTTTAAACAAAGCAAGATTCTGTAGCAGCATCCAAAGAAAACATGTTCAGATCCACCTCTGAATGTCTTAAATGTCCAAGTCAATGTCTGAACTTCAGCTAAAAACCTTTTACCCTTTTTAACAGATTTGTGAGGCTCAAATAAATAATCAGATAAAACAGAAAGATGATTAGATGAAGGGTCCAGAACATTTATTTCAGAGAGGCGGGTTTAATAGCAAAACAAGGCAGGGCACTGAACTCTCCGAACATTTTAAACATAGCCCAGTTGAGTCTCCTTTTACTTAAAGGAAGCTTTTAGCATGAGAACCTGCCTGTGGCCAGTCTCACGCTGCACTTCTGACAAATGCTTTGGCTTTAGACTTGCAAATTGAGGAGAGACCCACCGAGGCAACTGCTGAGGCACTCAGAACAGCTTGATTGAATTTAGGGCCCCTAGGAGGTAAACTCTATAAACTGCCCACAGAAGATTTTTTTTTTCCTTCCAAGAAGAAAGAAAGAAAATATGTGAAGTGTACTACACAGATCTCCAACATGTTTATCTGTTGAAACCTCTAATAATAACCCCGGGTGCCTTCAATGATCTTGTGGTTCTAAGGACTCCCAACCCAGTAGGGGGGATAAAGCAAGACAGAAAAAGCAACAACAGTGTTTACAGTGCAGGCTTCCATGACCCAAGAGGGATGAGAGTGGGTAGTTAAGGTTGACCTCATGGCAGGAAAGGAAAGAAAGCCTCCTAAAGGAGCCCGAGTCAGCATTATTGCTTCTGTAAATAACATCTAAAATATAGATAATTGGACCGAACCCTTACAATAAATGGTTAGGTAAGAGCCTCACTTTTTTTTATTTCCCAGCTTTTTATTGTCAATATGCTTTGACTAGGGTTGTCAAAAGTATCGATACTCAAAAGAGCTCGAACTCAGAACCTCAGGATTGCCCTAACCACTAGGCCACCACCCCCCCAATAAATTGATTGTTGAGATTTATTGTATCTTGACCAATCAGCGGTGCATCAATAGGGACACGTATGATAAAGTAGTTCATTCTTCCTATTCAATTAAAATTAAAGATAAAGTTAAACTTAGTTCCACTAATAGGATTTTTATAGCATGAAAAAAAAGACCCACGTTTGTGTTGTTTCAACATGGATCCCTAATGCCTTTCATACCAATTTAATGCATAAGGGGAGTGTTGGCCTAGAGGTTAGAGCAGTGCGCTTGTTCTCTGAGAAGGTTGCAAGTACCTGATTGGATCGCCACAGCCTCCACTCTGGGTCTCTGAGCAAGACCCTTAATGCCGCACAATGGCAGTCCACTGCTCTCCAAGGGGATTGGTTAAATGCAGAGAGTTATCAGTAAATTAAAATTTCTATTTTCTATAAAAATATAAGTAATATGTATGAATAAAACCTGCAACCAAAGACAAAACCATCAAAATGCTGGCCCTGCATCTTTTTATAACCTAAAAGCTTCCATCTAAGACTAAAAAGAGATGGATATTATCGATCTAAGAAGAGATGAGAAAATGTTGAGGTTGAGGTATTATTCAGTCCTGGAGACGGTAAAGTCAGGATCTTTGGAAATGTGAAGAGTATTATCCACAGCCTTGCTGCCGTACCTTCTACAAACCACGAGTTTAAACCACTGACAGGACAAAAACAGGATCAAAACAGGAAACCATTCAAGGTGAAAAAGCTTTTTCTGCATGATGATGATGAGTTCATGAAACTGAAACACAGATGAAAAGAGGGGTGAGTTTTTAAGCTATTCTACGGTTTCAGAAAGCAAAACGGTTCAATGTCAAAGCTGTGTTTTTTTTCTGTGAAAATTTAATGAACATTAAAAAAAAAAAAAAGACATTGAGCTCACAAGATGACAGCCAAAGCTTTTATGATATAGGCTTTTTCAATTTGTTTTCTGACTTTAAACTGCCCTGTTTCATCCTTAATGAAACTAAGGAGCCCAAATGTAATCAAAATAGAAAATTATAAAGGACTGATCAAAACAAATGTTTATCAGGGTGGAATAAACCTTTCTAATTATATTTATTGGGATGGCAAGTTAAACTTAGCAGGGTTTAACTTTGTTTTAATAAATTAGCTTTATGTTAAAAGGGATCCTTATTTAGTTTAAATGTTGTCCATGGATTTTTAGAGTAATCCGGTCTGATTGTCCAGCTGATTCTACATTTATGGTGGGAGCTAAAAGTTGCGGTGATGGAAAAAAAGGGTTAGGGCGTATTTTGGTCTCTCAGATTTGGAGCAAATTCTTTACAGAAATATTTTCAAATATTCTCGAAGCAACATGCATAACGCTGGCCAGCAATCATAACATCGGCAATGAAAATAAATATAACTATATTTTTCAGTGGTTTGAATGATTTTGAGTTTAAAAAGATTGAGTCTTGATTTCTTTGAGGTATTGATTTCTTTATTTTTACATTTGTACGCTAGTAGCTCAATGGTTGCATAAGGTATTTCTGAAATATCGCATACTGCTGACTTATTTTTTCATTTTGCGCTTTTCTTTTTGCTCGTTTTGTTAGTAAATAAATTTCTCCTGTGTGCATTTACAGAAAAAACACAATATGGTCGTATGCACAATATTGCTCAAGCAGTAAACCAGAAAGTGAATGGGCTAAACAAGTCAGCCACTATAAACAGAGATCAAACGCCTTAGATCCAGTGTGAAAAAGACTATTTTAGTTGCCAAGACAAATCATAATAAGAAAAACGTTTGTTTTACCATATGAACTTAAACTTTACTCACACAACTTACTAAGTTGTGTGAGTAAACGTCCTTATCAATACTGATAGCGGTGATGGCAATGCTAAATGCTCACAAAATATTTCGCACGAATGTTAAGATTTATGTTATTCTAATACAGTAAATTCCCTTTTAAAATTGAAGTTTACATTTTTTTACTTTTTTTTTCCCCCTAATCAGCAAGTTATAACTTTGTAAGCATATTTTGTTGATTTATTGTAAATATTAAGCTTTGTGCAGAGAGCTCTCCTCGTAAAGCTTTATGGGATTTGCTGTCACAGCAGCCCGCTGTCGCCATAGGCTGTTGCTACCCGACAGTGCAGACTAATAACAAGGATGGGGCAGGCACCACACGGTGGAGGACGAGTTAGGTGACCAATGGATTAAAAAGCAGTGATCATCTGCCCAAATGGTCAGTTATCTGAGTTTGCTAAAAAGTCCACTATATAGTCCCCGCTCTATATAGTGATTGAGGGATTTAGGGGTTTTATTAGTTAAGGCGGACGTTCGGACACAGTAAGCTTGTATGACCTATGAGAACAACCACTTTTAAACAGAGCGTGCATGAGGAGAAATTGGCTCGTAAATGCTCTCACAAGCGTTTTTTTTTTTTTAGTGGAGGGGGCGGGTCTTTCAAAAAATTCGTGAAAAACCCTTCACATTACCTTTAAGAAAAAAATCTTTACAGGCATTTTCTTTATAAGTACCCAACTAAAATGTCCTTTAACCCTTATGAGAGAATAAGTCATGGTCTTTATACTCTAAACTGGAAAGTTTGTTTGTTGAAAAGGAAAAGGGTACATTTGTTCAAAAGACAACACTATAAGCATTGTTAGAAGAGCCCAAATTACAGAGTATAATCATTGCAGACTAACAAAGAACCCAAAGGAACCCCATTCCTAAGGAGAGGACCCATTCTTCTGGTTCAATTTGCATATTTTCTAAGCCAAAACAAGGCTTTGGTTTTTTGTTCCACTCTATAAAGCCTCGAACTTAATGCTATTCCTGACATTTTGAATTGAGAAACGTGTTCCAGCTTGAAAACAAAGTCCAACGGATTGTTTTTATATACTTTTTTGGAATGACAGAGTATCATCGTACCTTAGATATGACTTCATTTGGATATACATTACAGCCCAAGTTTATTTACCTATGATATTCTGGCCAATTCAAGGTGAACAGAAAGAGCCTAAAAACACTGGCTAGGTGACTAATGACTTACAGCTCAAACATAGAGCCTGTGGCTGCAGCTATAGCCAGTGTCCAACTGGAGACTAATACGGTGGCCCTGAAGTGCAAACTGCAACTACAAATCTAAAAGCGCAACTACAT